TGGGGCGGGGCGGTCTTCGTGCCAGGCCCGGGTTTAGCCCCCCTGGGGGTACCGGCAGGCCTGGAGAAGGACGCGGGCTGCTTGCCCCGGGGCTGGCGTCAGGGCTAGTGGCGTGGGTTTAACGTTGCCAATATACAGGGCCGCCTTCTGGGGTGTGATGGTTGCTTAATTGTTTGAAGTCAGTATCTCTGGACTACTCAAATTGTAAAAATAATCGGGCAGTAAATTGATCCTGCTTAGTTAATGCTGTGCCTGACCTAGCCTTAGAGCGGAGGAAAGCGAGTGAGATTTCAAACTGCTTGATTGTCCCCGGGACCCAATCCTGTTTTCCACTGACAGCAAAGCCAAGATAGTCAGCATGGCCTTAACTGTACACTGACCTCCAGGCATGCCAAAAAAGTATTGGGGAAATTACCAGACTGCAGAGAAGTTGGTAACAGAACTTAACAGAGCGCAGTATTTTCGTGCTAAAAGTTCGTATTGGATCTGTAAACTGAAAGCCAAGCCTATGTAAGACAGCCTGCAACCTAACGCATGTTTTTGGAGACCTCTTTTCCTTTTTTTCGTAATGAAAATACAATCTATTCTTAGCTATCAGTCTTGTATGTGCCTAGTTGTTCATTGTTTCAAAGTATCTGCCTAGTGTTGGATAAACAATTTGTATTAGGGGCGTATTCTATACCCCATCAACGTAAAAAAACCCGACCTTGTTCTCAGTGTTGGATAAACAATTTGTATTAGGGGCGTATTATATGCTATACCCCATCAATGTAAAAAAACCCGACCTTGTTCTCGGGAGAAATCTGGTGAGAAAGTAAAAAACTTGAGGCCTGAAGTCTTGATTTGGCAACCACAGAAAATTTTTTTCATTCTGCAGGTACGGACACACACACCTTTCTCACCCTAGATGATACAATTCACAAGCTTTCTTGAAAGATCAGACTGAAAAAAAGAAAAGTAAGTTATCCTGCTTCAATGTTTTATTTGGAAGATGCTGCTGCAAAGGTATCACCTTGAAATTTGACCTGCAGAAGATACTCAGAAAT